AGAAATTCCACAGACAATTCTCTTCGAGTAGAAAAAGTTAACAAAAGTTTTACATTGGTAGATTTTCTATCCTCCAAATTCCTGTGGCTCCTTTCAGTCGAGGTTAACATCGCTCTTTTGTGTGGAACCATGAAGAGATTGTCTCTGAGAATAAATTGCGTTCGGACCTGTCCGCTTCTGTGTGAGGAAAGGCGAGCGACGTATCAGCAGCTGATTGGCTTTATCAACACACATGAAAAAATACGATATTTTTTCACGTGTGTTGTTACGGCTTTTCACAGGGCCGGAAATCCCTGTATAACACTGCAGTTTATGTGATAAATAGTAGAAACCCATCAAGCCGAAAAAATTTGGACTTACAACCGTTCGACCGTATGTGCAACGAACTACGTTAAGCATGCGCGGGCAACTGCATTGCGGGCACTATCTTAGCCATTACGTAATGGATGGGCGAAGGATAAGGTAATGCCTAGGTGCTATTGCATGCGTAACTTGAATACCCCACCAGTGTGCGCCAGGAGACACCGCTTTAAAACCCTCGCGCCGGTTCATTGTTCAAATAACATTTCAAAGCGTTCGTATTCTTCAACTTATTTCTTGTCCTATCGTTTGGAAAGTTTGATACAGCCGTGGTGTTAAGGGAAAGAAGTTATCTTATGTGTTGTGTTTTCCCTAGAAAGGTTTTAAAATGATAGCGAACGGCGCGCGCAAGTTTTTATCATTCTCTCTTCAGTTGACTACCGCAGGGTTTACTTTATTCATTTAAAAAAATCGCGCTTTGTCGAAGATGTGTTGTTTTACCCCAAGAACGGAGAAGTGGCCTTTCCCAAAATTGAAATAAAATAAGATTGAGTCAGCGATGTTCATGTTCACATTAAGTCTGGCGCGGTAATTTGATTTTTGAGAATAATGTCATGTGAGAACCCGTCAAACATTTGCGAATGGAGTAAGTCCTACAGTGGGATGAGTGAATTTCATTGTTTAGTCGTAATAATTTTCAGCGCTACTTTTTCATGCTTTCTACTCGATTCGTTCGTACTTCAGGAAATGGTTTGTCTCACAAAAAAAGGAGCCACTTTCTCACTTTTTCAGTCCATTGACGTCACCCGGCTGGCAAGAACAGCAACAATGTCAGTAAAACCAACAACAAGAACGTAGTGTTTTAGACTAATAAGTTTTCACCCAACATGCGGCACTGCTTGTTTTTGTTGTACCTAATTCCAAACTAAAATTCATCCATTAAGCAACTATTTCAGAAAACGATGTCATCTGAGTAGTACTGCAACGCTCCATCGCTCTCAAAACACCTTGTGAGTAGCACTGGAATTTTCGCCCACGTTTTGGACAAATTTCTTCTATGATTTTTCCTTAATTTTTGGCCATACTTTTTCATTAATTCCTCGACAATGGCTAGTTGGGGATTCTGAGAAGTCATTGGTTCCAGGTTATGATAATGAAACTCAGCTATGGCCTCAGCTTCATGGCCAAGTAAGGCCATATCCCCGGTGGCTTGCACTTCGTTTTGACAATCAGCAGGATAGATAACTTTCAATCCCGTCTCTCCTAAGCTTGATACTATCGTCACTGGGATTTAGAGCATGCTGATGAGGCCCCACAAAGCAATCCAGTCACCCCATTCACCTTCCATAGTCATTCTTCGCAGATGAGTGTCCCATGCCCCGAGATTGATAAATTCACTGAGATGAGTTCCATCTGGGTGGCTGGATTACTTCTGAGATAATTCACCAGGTCAGAGCGTAGTTTTGTGGAAGTCTGAGATGCATTTCCGAGGCGAAGTAGCTGGTCATACATTGCATGAAACAAACTGTTGCCATCTTTGGGGGTTGGGGGCCGGCGATAAGCAAGTCCTGCATTCCCCACCTCTTTATCCAACCGGTTTTTAGGGGATTCTCTGTTGTCAGAAGCTTGCTGGCAGTCTGCCATCCTCTGAAAAACTTTGGGTAAATCGTTTTCAGCGCGTAAAGCTGACGCAAGATTTAATAAATCGCTCGCCATTTCATCCCGAGGCTCTCCGTTGAGAGTAAGGCCGGAATGGTTGCCTCTCGACAACAAACAAGTGTTTTGCAAAAAGGCATGTGAATACACCACAGTCGGTATCATTCTTTGCTTGGGACATTGAGGTGTTATTATTATTATTTTCCTGGAAGATAGTTTTATCCTCATCAGAAAGCCACTGAAGTTCGTCTGTAATAAATTCTTCTTTGATGGTATCAAAAATTGTTCGGTACGTCGCCGTAGTGCATCTAGCGGAATCGTAAATGTAAAGGCATGAATTAAGAACACTTATAAGGACCAGCAGCCAGTGGCTTTCAGTAGAAAGGTGTACTGGAATCATTATTTGTTCATACTCCCACAGAGCGTTGTTGCCTATATTTTTTGAGTATGTAGATGTTTCGACCGATCGATGCAATGAAGGTAAAAGTAGGAACTTGCAAATCCCCAGTTCCCTCCTCCAAATTCCTGATTATTTCTCAAAAATTCAAAATACAAGTTACCAGTGTCACCATTAAGCTTTCCGAGGAAGATATCTGATCGATGCTGGCTTCTAACAAACTGGCGTTGTCTGTTCTTGCTCGCTTCGCTGGTTGACCTGGGGAATCGGCTTCATGGCCTGTGCAAGTATCATTTCGTCTCCCACTGTTGCTCTTTGCCTTTTGCTGCCGGTCATTTTCTTCTTCTTTTGTTACTGAGGTAATATCATCTCCTTTAAACCACCTCGTTTTGCTCTTAAGTGTCACGAGATCACTGTAGCTGATAAAGTATTTGTGCATAGAATGATTAGCCTCAAGGATCACCCCATTCACAGGTGTTCTTTAGCGATTTTTTCTTTCCCTTAACTAATTTCTTTGAGACAGGGACTCGAATCAAAACGGTTTCTCCCTTGTAATAGAGTGAAAGTGGATCTCGCCTTAACTCCCGCTTTACCATCATCCTACGAAGCCTTATTAGACGCACCCAGAGCTTTCTGCATGACAGAATTGCGTTCTATTACTAGCTCTGTTAGTTCATCCGTCTTGCATTCATCCATTTCGATACTCTGGCTGTTTTCTTCTGGAACTTCATATTCTTTCTTTCCCCCAAGAAACAGTTTATTCCGATACTTATTGGGCTTTCTACCGATGTACACTTCAAATGGAGAAAGCTGCCTAAGAGAACGATGTGGTGATTCATTATAGAGTTGCTGGTATTGTTGCAGATACTCCACCCAGTTGAGATCGCTATTGTTGTCGTTAATTAAATCAAACTTTATTTTTTCCTTCCACGTTCTGTGTGAGCGCTCGTCTTTTCCTTTGGTCTGGGGACTGTATGCGGAGCTTTTAATCATGCGAACGTTTAGCGTTTCACAAACAGTCTTTACTACTCCCTTAAATTCTGGACCTTGGTCGCTTTGCAAAATTTCTGGAGGGCCGTGTTCGATGTAAATGTCTAAAAGATGTTCCACCACTTCACTAGTCTCTTTTGTTTGAAGAAGGCGTAAGAGAAGAAATTTACTGAAAAGCTACTGAAAAAAGACGACATGGATAACAGTGATGGTAAAGCAAGCTTAAAACAGCAGAAATCGCCAGAAAATACGAGGGATACACAGGGCATGAGTAAGTTTTATTGATTTTACGAGTAAAATATTCATATTTCGAAATATTTATCGTTGTAAATCGACCATATTTCGTTCCCCATACTATTCCTTATAACGTGTTCAAATTTTCAACGGTTCCTCCCGTAACTTAACACCGAGTCACACAACGCGTGACGCGTTTATGAATTCATCGTTGGCTATTTCTCGAGACGTAAGCTGGGGCGGCCTGTGGTAGTACGCACGATCCACAAGCTGAGAAACACTCGACTTTTCCACCACATTGCAGTTAGTTGCCTTTTCTACCATTCGTTTCTTCGGCTGTCCAACTGTCGGATCATGGATTTCTTTTACGACATAGATGTCGCTCTGTAACTTCCGATAAACCCGTTGCCTTAACCTTTTGTCACCTTTCTTAGGCTAATAGTGCAGTGATTTCTCTCCAATTAAGATGTATAGTGCATCGTATAAGTCATCGTCCAAAGGCAGATTTTTTCGCTTTGAGACTAAGGGAAAGTTTAGCCTGTTAAATTCGCAATTTACTTTTCTATTAAAAAAATCCACCCTTAATTTTTTTAACCTTCCTCTGATATGTAAGTCCATGCTATTCCTTATTTTTTGGTCGGGATCATTTGCGGTCCCCATTGGGCATTATTTCCGGTCCGGGATCATTTGAGGACCCGTACAGTGCTCAAATCGGGCTGTTGATGGCCAATCCCGTTCGAGAATTTTGTCATAGTTTTGATTAATTCATGAGAGCGTCATGAAAATTTGAACACGTTATAAGGAATAGTCGAGGGAACGAAATATGGTCGATTTACAAGAGGGTAGCAAAGGGTTTTTGCGTGACGCGTGATGGCCCCCAAATTTAACCTTACAAGATACACTTCATGTGTGGTCCCGAGGGAAATAATTGGTTTTGTTTTCCCGAGAAACATCAGGACTCTCTGGAAACAAAACTAACTAGTTTCCCTCGGGACCAAACATTAAGTGCTTTGTTATATATTTAGACTTTCCCTTAAACAATCATATGACAAAAACATGCTGTTGTATTCGGCGAGCGGGCAACAACTGCACAATTGTGTCCCGGTCGGGATACATTTGAACTTGATTAAGGGCTCGTGACTAAGAATCAACCAATCACAGTGCTCGTTTTGTTTAGTGAAAGTCTTGGAAAATAACAATGATAAATATTTCGAAATATGAACGTTTTACACGTAAAAATTAGTAAAATTTATTCACATCCTCCGTGTCCGTTGTAGTTTCTGGCGATTTCTGCCGTGTTAGGCTTGCTTTTCTATCACAGGTGTGCCCTGAAAAAAAAATTTCTTACTTCCGCTCAAGCGTGGGCGAGTGCCTGTCAGTAAACATCCCATCGTACACCGCTCACTTTCAGTCTTCAAGGCTGGGCAGCAGGCTCAAAGTGAAACGAAAATGTTTTTGCCACTGATTTGTAGTTTATGGCTTTTTGCTACCTCCTCTTCGGGTATTGAGTACTCAAACAATTTATTATGTAAAGATGAAAATTACGAAGTCCATTGGAGGTTCGAAAACAATACAGAAACCTTCTATTTTAAAGTAAGGGCAAAAGCTACTGGCTGGATTGGATTTGGCGTATCGAGATTACTATGGCCTGAAAACGAAACATTACGGTGGAATATGTATTCCATGAGACATTACGATGTTCTTGTTGGCGGTGTTGACGATAGTGGAAAAAAGTATTTTAAGGTTAGTTTTTACGTTCGTTTGTTCCTGTCTTCACAATGTCCTTCTCATGTTTTATTGATACCCGAAAATCGACTGCAATCTCAACGGTATCTGCGAGAACGATTTCATTGTTAAAAATACTGGCAAACCATTTCTGCAGCGTTACTTGTTTGTGACTTATTAAGTGAGATGAACTAAGTTAAGAAATCGGTCTTTTTTTTTCTGTTGTTGTTATTGCATGTGTGTTTAATTGGCGTGAATGTGAAAGTACCTACCAGTTCTTATTTTGTATTCATCGGTTGCAACATTAAAATACAGTCGAACCGAGAAACGTTCAAGTTACTGAGGTGTACCGTTGAGAACAGATTGATAGAGATGAAAAAAATGTTGTTAACTGTAGTTCTGTTCATGTGGTGTACATTTTTATCAAATCTAATAATAATGTAGTGAATATGGGTTTTACCATTTCTGCATCCTTACACGATTGTGACTTACTAGGCGGGATGAACTTAGTCAAGAAATAGATCTGGTTTTTTTTTTGTTTGTTTTTTCGCTACGTTTGTTATATTGGGCGTGAATATGAAAGTACCTGCCAGTTCTCATTTTGCAACATGAAAGTACTGTCGAACTGAAAAACGTTCAAGTTACTGAGGTGAACAGTTGAGAGCAGATTGCTAGCGATTAAATAGATTTCATAGAGAACTTAGGCAGCAAACCTGTGAAAAGATTCATTGCACTGAAATTACACGTACCCTAATTTAGGTGAAAACTTTCTCAAACCGATACATTTTGTGATTAGCAAACAATACCTTTGGCTGTTTATGGTTAATTTGTGTTTTGGGCCATATTACCTCACTGACTATTTTCACATGTTATGTACTGATAAACACTCTTCAAGTCTCGAGGGTAAGATTATAATGAAATGTCTGGAATGGAAAATGAAAACAATCAAGTTGGTTGATATGAGATTGTAATGGTTACAGTTATGAGGAGTGAACTATTTAATTAAAAACTAAATAACTTCGTTGGTTTCTGACCAGAATTTAGCTCAGAAAAGCCACACAAGAATTTTGAAAGGTTAAACTCATCGATTTATTAACCCTTTACCCCCTAACATCAGTATCCATATTCTCCATACTATTCACTATACATTTCCCAAGGTGTTGACAAAGAGAATTTGTTTGATAAGCAAGAGCTGCTTTGGTTGGTGATCCTCTATTCTCATTACCTTAATGTTTGATTCAAGATTGTTATTGTAAGAAGAAATTGGATGCTAGTCACTCTATGGGGTTAAAGGGTTAAAGGAGTTTTATTGCTACATTTAGTATCCAATTCTTTTAACCTATTGACATCTGATGCGCCCTCATGGGCCTGGAAACAAAACCCCTCTGAAATTTCAATGTGCCCATATGCACCCTGTCAGAAATGGCTTGTTTTGATTGGTTGTAGCTTAGAAACAAAACTCTCCTGGGTATTGGAAAGTAGTGGAACATGAAATGCAAGACATAAGCTTTCATTTGAGACCAAACTCACTATTCCACATTCACTGTGCAATTTTTCACAAATTTTTCTAGGTCTTGGACATGGCTTCTGGAAGAATTGATGAAAGTCAATTTGGCAAAATCTCTGCACACCCCCATACTTCATTATGCATCCATACATGGGGCTTTTTTACTCAGTGTATCATTATTAAGATGTGCTTACATAGTGAAGTATGGGGCTGTGCGGAAATTTTTCTGAAAATGCAAAAAATACTTCGCTGTACATCATGAAGTTGAGTCAGTTCTCTAGCTTTAGAATTTTTTTGAGAGAGCCTGATGCTCATGTTGAAAATAAAATTTGACAGGGAGAAAGTATATTATTTAACATGCAACTTTGTGAAGTTTCCCTTCAGTAGAGTAAATTGAAGACATTAAAATCTTAAATTATTTTGCCAGTGGTCTGTGTGTTCACTGTGGCAGCCATTTTCTCTGGAATTTCAAAACATGGAGCTTAGTCAAAGCTATTATGCCATCTTCCAATGTGCACAATGTACAACCATTTCCTGGACTTCATGTAGCTTTTTTCATTGATTGAAAGTGAAATTTCAGAACAAGTGAGTTGGCAGGTAGCTACAGAAGAACCAAAGGAACATTTTTAAACATGCCAAGTGACATTATTTTACCATGAGCAGAGATGAAAATCTCCAAAGAGAAAACAAAATGAACTGTTCAATTTTTGAAGGTTTTCACACACAGTCAGATTGTAAGCCTACGTACATAGTTGAATGATGGTTAGTATTCAAACATGTGTGATGGTTGAAACTATCATCAGCTGTCATGACTGTTTGAATGGGGCTTTATTAAAAATGATAAAAAGCCATGTACTAACTCTTGCTCTAACCAAACAGTAAGCATAAGAACACAGTCTTCCTCGCTTTCTACAGGAAATGCAGCTTGCTTTTAATAAAACTTAAGACACTAAGTGTTCAATGGCTGTTTTCGATTCTCTCTTTTTGTTTAAGCCTTGGTGAGTACGTTTATGCCCTATGAATTTAAAACCTTTGTAAAAAAGTTCAGAATGTGATTTATCTGTGTTATTAACACATGTGCAATTTTGATTTTAAAGTTTGATATCCAACTAGCATTGAGAGGAAAATATTTGATAATTTTAGTTCAGCATAAAGTTGCTTGAAAATTAAGTAGCTGACAATGTACTTCTATGCATAATGAATGTATGTAGAACATGCAAAACAAGCATAAAAAGGAAACTGTGAGTGAAAGAATGAATCTAACAAACTAAGACTGCAGATGTGAAAAATAAAAAATGGTGAATACTCTAGTACTAAATTAAAAGTGACTATTATTTTCCATGGAATTTATTTATTTGTTCTGTAAATTTGACGTGGAATTTGTAATTGTATTACACTCTTCAACCAACTGAAATAATTGTCATTTTGTTTGGAATCACATTTATAAAATGCTAGAGTAAGCTTTGTGACATTACTTTGCACTGAAATTTTAGCAGCTGGGTTGCGTACATATATTAACTATTTTTTCATTTGGCTTGGTTCACTGAATGTATTCATTGATTTTTTGAATATGTCATTGATTCATTGAATATATCAGTAATTACTGGTTCACAGAGTTTATTTATTATATGGACGCGGGTGTCTTATTAAGATTTAAAACACTTATAGAATCAATATGACCATTACATCAGGGAACTGAATGATGTATTTTCCTATGTAACTTGAGTGACAATTATAGTTTTCAAGGAATTTCTCAAAAGTTGGGATGAGATAAGGTGAATTTGTTCTGTTCACGCTGAATAGCCTTCAAAGGTTTGTAGTGAAAAGAGGCTTAAATAAAAGTATCTGTTGATTCAAGTCAGAGTCAGTAATCAAATTTTTATTATTTTAAGCTTATATTTTTGTCTAACTGATGGTGTTACATGTAAACCTTTGTATAATTTGGGCAGAGAGTCTTTTGTTTCTTTTAAAACTTAGTATTTGTGCAGCCTGCTTTTCAATCCCTATTAGGTATATTTAACCACTATTGTTACTTTACTATCCATTTAATGAAAAGAAAATGACACCCTAACTCAAAGATATGAATTTTATGTTCTTTTGGCACAAATAATATCTCACTCAGGACTGAGATATCATACATTGATTGACCAATTAAAAGTCTAATAATGCTTGGTTCTCTGTAAATTACATGGCCTAACATATCTTTTAATGTGCTTGCCATCTCTCTCTTTCTTGGGTAAGGTAGATTTTGTCTTAGACTTGGAAGGGATAAACAATGTGTATTATTGATGAAGCTCAGCTCCAAAATTTAGAGTATAAGCAAGTTGGTCGCCTTTTCTTTAAATGCCCCCAAGCATCTTGTTTGTACAAGTATGGTATGACTCTAATGGGCTAACTTTTACTAGGATTTTATGACAAATGGACATGTGGCTCCAAAAGAAGATGATCACGCAGACTGGAATGTCTCAAATATAATTGAGAGTAATGGTACTACAACGATGGAATTCTCTCGGAAGAAAGATACTGGTGATGCTAATGGTGACAATGTCATTGAGGTGGGTTAATTAGTGAGATCACTTCCTCTAAAGTTTGGTAGATTGAAAGATACCCCCTATATATAAACAATAGCCTCCATTTGGTGCAAAAATGTACTGATGTTTGTCTGTGGACATTATTAGTTCCAGGATGCGAACACTTTTCAGAAAACAAAGCTCAAGGAAAACTGTGAACTTTGAGGAGCAGATAATGTCTAAGGACAAATATACAAGCATATTTTCATGGTGGAGGCTATTGTGTTTATTATCCTTCAAATATTTTTACAATGTGCAGGAAACATTTTAAAAAGAGAAACTAGGAAAACTATTGATAGAAAACTAGGTATGGGTAATTGAACAGGGCCAAGAAAAATTAAGGATTAATATCAAGGGTGTTTTGAGAAGTTGTATATCTGCATTAATTTTGTAATGACATCACCCTGTATTGCATTTGAAATAAAATCTGCTTTGGACCTTTGACATTTTTCTCCTTTCATGGAGGTTATTAAGTTGACTGATGGGCTGAAACCCCCTGGCCATAAGGGGAAAGAGGTATTTGTGGATTTGATATATATGTAAATTTCCTTATGAAGTTAACTTTGTCAGTGTGAAGTCTATGCTTTTAAGGTTAGTCAATCACACCTGATAAGATTTATCATTCACATGTCTATTGAGTCAAAGTATTTTTCAACCTTGGAAATATAAGAGCTTCTCAAGCACAGGATTAAATTTATTTATCATTGCTTTCTTCAAACATATTGGTTTGTCTTCTACTGAATCTTGCAGCATCGTGCAATTCTTTTCAACTCTAGGAAAAGATAGAGCTTAGGTATTCAGTTAAAGTCTGGATAGGCTGGGTACAAAGGGACTTACAAAACCCAAAGGATTCAATACCTATACCTCAGTTTTAGATGACATTACAAGTTTGTTATCATGGACAGTATCTTACTCATTGTTGTTACGTAATATTGACCTGAAGTTCATTGTTTTTCAGCCTGGTCTGAGAAGGATGGTGTGTGCTTACCATGATACTGTTGATTATAACATATCTATGAGCAAGTTTACAAAACACACATGGAATGGCTATGAAGATATTGAATTTATTGAGAAACCAAAGGAAAAAGCTGTGCTTGCCTATCGTGAAACCGAACCACCAACCACTGGGGCCAGTACACTAGCTGTGTCTATTGTGGGCCACTTGTTACTTATTGTTATTGCAGTCATTTTCTTCTACTAGATCATGAATCGTCTCCTTCTTTTGCTTCTTGCCTATGTTGTTGTAGCATCAGGCATTAAAGAAGAAAGATCTCGGGATCTATGTTTATCTGATGCCCTTAAAGATTGGAATGATAGAGAGAAAGAGAAACCTTTCACTGGTGCACATAATCAATTTTAAATTACAATCATGTACAAATAATCTACTAAGATTAAAAATTCCTGATTTTGCTAACATGTTAATATATCTTAAACCTCTTTAGACAATTTTGGAATTGAGGTAGGTCAACTTCTGAAAGACATGTTGACTATTAACATGTAGCGCACATGGTGGTATAAAGCCATAACTGCCTTTGACACCACAAGTCTGGTGCATTTGTGAACATTGAGGGGTGATTATTTAAACTGAATTTAGCCATCATCTAATGTAACTGCATTCTAAACCATTTTTTCAATTTAGCCAAACCTTTTATCAGAACATCTAGTTTAGTGAATAGTGTCAAGAGGGCCAAAAGCTAAGGAGAACATTTATTTCATTATTAAATAATAATTAAACCACAGTTTGAGTTTGATCTCGAGTAAATAATTGGCCTTTAGTTTGAGTTTAGATGAAAAAATATACTTTATAGTGTATTTTGAAGGTAGATATCTTATGCTATAAACCACATATTTATTTGGGACACATGTTGTCCTATAGTTAGCAGCTGCTGTGTCCCAGGTTATCAAAGAAAATTATTCTTTTATGCCAGAGTACCTTTACAGCTCCAAATTGCTGTGATAGACTTCCAACAGCAGGGAAAACAGGTTTGAACCCTAGTTCAGAGATAGGTAATTGACCAAAGTGCTAAGCAAGATTCAAAGTGGCAAAGTTCGTTGACAAATTCAAAAGAGAGCATCCTGCCTAGTCTTTTTAATTTTTTTATATACTTTTTTAAGAGTTAGTTACTTGCCTGGTTGTTAGCTCACATAATCAATAGGAGGTTGAGATGTGTAGCCTGAGAATTTGGTCCAATAAAATGCAGTAAGTTTTCTCCCTCTAGTAGGTTTTATCTGTTGGTGGGTGGGAGGGGCCCTTAAATAAGCAAAATGGAAAATAATTTGCATAAATTCTGGTAAACTGCCATGTTTTCAGGGGCAATGTTCAAAAGCTTAATGCTTGAATGTTTAAGCGCAATATATCTGACTCTAAACATGGTCATAGTTTGTCCAAAACACAGGTAAATGGGCCTAAAAAAAGAGAGCAACAGTATATTGTCTGATTTTGCCATATAAGAGCTTTCCCACAGAGAACTTTTTGACAAATTACTGTATAAAAATTAACAAGACTCCACAAAAATTATCATGTCTAATTTATTTGACCACTATATACTTAAATGATTGACTGAAAAAAGTTAAGTGAATTGTCCCTAATGCTTATCACAACAAGAACTCAAAACAACAACAATCTAAAAAGATAAAATAACATCAACAGCTAATTTGGGCTGAACAGCGACTGAACTTGAAGCAAGAGCTAACAACCACAATATTAATGAGAATACTTTTTGTAAAGCAACCCAGTCCTTAATTAACTTGAGTATAGTCGTCTTCCAGGACTGCCACTAGGGCGTGGTGATAGTGAGCGGCCACGTTGAGCCAATGGAGAGCGCGAGTGGCGTCCTCTGGTGGCAGGTGAGTGTGACCTCCTTGGCGAACGTGACCTAGACCTACTGTTGAGAAACAAACACCTTGCTCAGTATAGCCTATAGTTCTGGGCCCAGTTGTTCAAAGGCCGATTAGCTCTAACCCAGGGTTAAATTTTAATCCAGCTTTCTTTATTTCTTTGTTCAAAAGTCTCTTTGAGAAAATTTTCACTATTCTTTTAGAACATCCAATGATCAAATTGCAAGCAAAAAGATTTGAACTGAATTTTCTCTTAAAATTTTCAGACCTGAAATCAAATTTCACACTAACCCTGGGTTACCTTAACCCAGCTTTGAACAACCGGGGCCTGAAGTTAAAGTGGGGGAGTAATGGACTTAATTTTCTAAAAGAAAGGACACAGTTTGAGTAACCATTTTGATAACAATGTGTTAGAACAACATGGTTGAGCATGTTTGTGAGAAAAGTTTAGCACTATGAAGCAAAATTGAGATAGCCAACCTTGTTCGGCGCCGTGGTGAGAGTGAGCGGGATCTTCGTGGTCGGTTTCTCTATGGTAAACAAATAATGGTAAATTACAAAATCAAGTTGCTCTCAAAGGTTGTTTATGCTCATCCAAAGAGTTGGACAGCCCCAGGACTAAGCCTTTAATACAGATTTTCCATAATTCAATACTATGACGACAAGGCAACAACAAAAATAAGAAAAATTTCAAGGATTAACCTTCAAAGGTCTCACATGTAGCAATTCATGTCTCCATATCAAGAGCATAGAACCTCAAAGCAAGCAAATTCCCCAATATAGTTTATAAATAAGCAGGAGTTTATTTACTAACCAATCATGCTCAGAAGCCTAAATGCACTTTTCCTAATTAAGGAATCAGAGCTACAGGCATTTTGCTTCAATAACACTAATGGCTGCTTTCTAACAAGCTGTGAAGAGAAGACCTTTTAGGAAACCCACATAAACCAACCATAGAGAAGGGGAACGTGCACACTTCCAAAATCTCAGCATGGCTAGTTGCGTCACATTTCACATGACATGATCAATTCAATGGCAGCAAATCTCTACACCAAAATTGTAAATCACTTCATAATTACCAAAATCTGTACCACAGGTTAGCTAGATGATAAAACTTCAAGTCAAGTAAGTACTTGCTAAAGATCTTGCCACAGCTCTAGTCTGAAGTTCCATCATTCAAATGTTTAAGGTATTATTCAAAAGTTAAGTAGCATAACTAATATTTAAGACTTGAACATGAATAGCTTTCAGGATTACTAACATACCTCTGTCAGCCTTATGCGCTTTCCCAGCAACTCAGTACCATCTAAACGTTTCAGTGCCCTTTGCATGTCATTAAGGCTGGCAAATTCAACAACCCTGAAATATATCAAACAAGTAATTATGTCAATATATGCCACTAATAAACCATTTTACAATATCATGCAATGGGATGCATTAAATATGCAACAACATTACACTGAAGAGCAGGGCAAAAATGCTACAAAATGACCACACAGTCACTGAACTTTGATTGGTTTTAGTCTTTTAGGGTTGACTTTTTAAGAAAGGAACTTCAATGCACATCATATTTTTTTTTGTTGGGCATAAAGAAGACTTTAAGGGTCTCTTATGTTATCATCTTTAGCCAGTGCCACCAATAATGCTTAGATAAGGTCAAAGGATTTAATGCAAAACTAGAAGCTAAAGTACAAGAAAATAAAAGAATAGTGGTATAATATATCCCTTATTCCATGGTTTAACACACAATATGAGTGGACATCAAATAAAAACTGTCACACAAGTCAGTGTTCCTGGACTAGTGCTTTTAAATACACTATAACAAATGATGCTAACCCCTCTCCTATTCTATCTCTATGGCACTGGGTAAAGGTCACTTCCCCTGCTTGGCGCATGTAATCTTTCAGATCCTGCAAAACAGCAAAGACATTAGTACAAAGTACAGTGAAGAGTACTTTTCTTTGCCTGTCCAAAGGAGATGACAAGTTTGATTGACTCTATAAAAAGACATTCATGATAAAATTGGTTAAAACAAGACTTCCAGTTAAATATGTAAAAAAAAATTAACCTAATAATTTACACTGTAGGTGCTGAGTGTGCAAACTGAAATGCAAGTTACACCTTTCAGTACATTAGATGAATTACAAAAAAAAGCATCTTGTGAGTAACAAAATACATTTTGACAAGGGCACTCATTTACACTAACAAATTAAATATTTCAAACCTTTGAGCTGTACAAAAAAATCCCTAAAGAACAGAGATACGAACCTTACCTTTGCAAAACTAACTATTAAGACCAAGAACTTCAAATTAAACCGAGATGATAACCAAGGCCTTCATGCCATACCAATTCCCATGTCAGCTTGTTAATGAGCCAAAAGGGTTGCCATGAGCAAACAGGGCCACTGAGCAACCAAGCAACCACACCACGAATTGAATGATCTACACAATCTTAAGACGGCAAGCCAAGTGTCATATTTTATGCCAGGGCCACTAATTTTCCCCTTTTTACGCACAGACCAGGTCATAGATCAGGAATTGATTTCTGCCTAAAACCAAGCTCCCATAAAGTACCTTACCACTAAGTACTGTGGCTAAAGATGGAAGAAATGGAAGGAAGGAAGTTACTGATATGGTACTTAAGCCTACACCAGATTCAGAACTCTAAATAGACTGGACAGTCACTCTGACTGAACTGTGAAAGTTACCATACTTTCGTTTTTAAAACAAAACTCTTGCATGCTCATTGGCGAAGACCAAGTATTTATCAGGCTATAGATCACGCTGATGATGCAGTAGCAAGCCACATTGGTATGGGCTACTACCTGTTGTAATTTGGCATTACTCTGGCAGTGTATTACATACTTCTGAGTCCAGGAATCAAGCATGAACTTCTACTTAATGATGTATTCAAAAGAAATTGACCAAGTTTATGAATGTACTGCTTATGAAACTTTGTTCTAACAAACAGTTGCACAAGGAAAAGCTAAAGGTAAAAATACTTGTTCACTTCAAGAATGAGGCCATAACTCAATCACAAAATGAATGAGATTTCTATTTGCATTCTTTTTTATCAACTCTTTTTATCATTTTTGTTAACCCATTGGAAAACTTTTCACAATTTGGGAGGAAGACTTCCATGGCAGAAATTGAAAAAAAGTTTTGTTGACGGATATGCACAATTGGTCCCAGCTAGAAGAGCAACGTGCTTTTTTGAGACAAAACTAGATCGCAAGTGCATTCATTGTAAACTCAGGCACTTAAAATAGTAAAATTTAGAAGTCTGACATACTTCACATTAAGAATTTCTTGTGCAAGTCAAATTTGCAAAATGAAAGGTACTGTATAGGTAAAGCAAAACAAATTGTGAGAACTTTCATCCTTTCATATTAGTGTTTTCACATGCTTTTTACAAATTCTTGAAGCCTTTATGTGAAACACTTTCTCTCATCCTTGCATTTCTGAGCCTAAAAGGCAAGTTGTGAATAAGCCCAAATAACTTTAGCCTAGGCCTCTTCCTTAGCAGGAAAAACTGTTACAATCCAGGGTACAATTATTATCATTAACTTTATGTCTTTGCTTTAAGTGTTGCTGATGTGACATTTCTTGGAGAAAAACATACATAGTGGCAGATATGACCAGTTTTGAGACGTCCTTATTTTTCAGCTCAACTCCATCTATGTTCACCAGAGTCTGGCCATTGACCTTTGCTTTCTCTGAAGAGGCCATTGGGCTTGCAAAAAAAAAAAATTGAAAAACCAGGTAGAGTTCACGGACAACTGTTTAAGGAGCTGAGCTGTTTATATTTCCATATGCATATAACGTGAAGATCGCTGTTCTTTTATAAATTTATTCACCTTCTAGCTTAACGTTTTGTGAGGCCTACAGTAGCTATACAGTTTGTGCAACAGTAACAATAAAATAATGTTGAACATGAAATTCACAGCACAGCATTTTGGGACAACATCTGTGGATGAGTACGTGACTAGAAAGACATACAGTAACTATAAATAATTACTTAACAAAGCACTGGCTGTTTGAGCAAGTCAGTTTTGCCCTTAGGTAAATTCCTTAAGCCATGTTTAGTAGGGTTGAAAAGTAATGAAAAAAACAACAATTTTGTCATTCATCACCAGTGAATCCTACAAAATTAAACAGGAATACATAAGGAAAACAGATAAATTTATGAAGGAATAATGAACTTTCAAATGAATGGTAGAACACACAAGATGTTACAGGTGATAATAAAATAATGTTCTTTTAGTTTAAGACATAACTGCTGCTTTGATCAGAACTTAAGTTTCACAGCAGCATGAAGTTGGCATTGCCATGTAACTTGAATCGCCATTTAACTTGCATAGGGCAAATGAGTCACTAGAAAAGGTCTTGCTTTTAGTTCTAATTGTTTAATAAATTGTTTCCACAAGTTTCTACTGTTGTAAACAAACTTGCTAAGTAATTGACAGTCTTGTGTAATCATCTGCATGAGAATAATCCTGAAATGACTGTTGTTGGTGAAAACTAGCAGAAGTTGACTTCTACTCTAAGGAGGTCATCGTCACAGGAAAGTGAACAGCTGTTTGAGGATAGAGTTTTGCCTGTTAGCTGGAAGACCCACAAGGCTTGTCAGATGTGATTGGTCAGTTTTGTCCGTTGGTAATTAAAATGTAACATCATGTTATCATATTTTGCACCTTCTGAAGTAGGTCTAACAATTTTGCATCTCCCTGATGTCTAAAGGTTGAGGGTACTTGCATATTTGAAATATTTTCTTTTGCTTTAATTAGTATTAATAGTTCACATCAAGGAAGGCTTTGTAAACCCTTAATGAAGAGGTACAGTACTATCCTGGATACAAATAATGAGAATCAACCCTGTCTAGTATTTCTCACCTGCCAACTTGCACGTGAGGACAAATTTTCCACTGTCAACTTGAATTCAGTGTTATAAGGTGCACCATATCTAAATAAATGTAGAATCTTAAAAATGGGTAGTCATGGACTACAGGTGGCTTCTAAATGAAATAAAAATCGAAAATCACCTTACAGAACTGGTCCTGCTTACTGGAATTAATAATGGAATATGACTTGGACCACTTACCACTGTGGCTACTCACATAAAGTAGTGACCATAATAACAACCACACAACTGTGAAAGGCAAAAAGGACACTAATGGTTATCTGTTCGAATGGGGAAACTGTTTGTTATCTGTTTGTCATCCATTCGAATGCCTAAAAAAACAGTTCAAAGCATTCTGCAAACCATTCAAACATTTTGCATATCTGTTCGAAAATCATTAGCATCCATTCGAAGTATTACGACATCTGTTTGAACAGTTCTGACACCTGTTCAAATGGTTTCAACATCTGTTTGAATGGTTTTTACATCCGTTCACCAACTAGAAGTGTCTGTTTGGAGAACTGCAGCATCCATTCGAATGGTTTGATGTCTGTTCTGTTCATCCGTTCAGAAGGAGAAAATTAAACTTGTCATTTCTTTACAGATATTCAGTATAGCGGTCGAAACATTGCAATCCACATCTATGTGACTAAATTGTGAGACGAAAGATTAACTCAGCTGTCATTTTAAACCATGATGATAAAACAACTTTCATGAGATATTCAGTAGTTTCAGACAATAACTAAAAACATTATTTCGATGAGAAATTGAAAAAGTCTCCATTTTCGATCCTGAGAATAAAGGCCTTGAAATTCACAACAATGGCAAATGAAATGGAAACAATGCACAGCAACATTGCCCATTCCATGATTAAGCCATGCGCTCAGAATGGTTTCGCAAACTGATTAAGCAATTTATTCATCCAACCAGTCATACAACTTTGTATATTTTCATCTGTTCGACCAGCTTGCCAGTCTGTTTGACATTATCCATTTTACTCATCCGTTTTAACAGCTAAGCAAACCCTTTGAATGGCTAATCAAACCATTCAAATAATTTATTCACCCATTTAAATGGTTTGCCCATCCATTAAAATTTTTACTCATCCATTCGAATGGCTGAACAAACCATTTGAACGCTTCAAGTACTGTTCATTAAGTGTTTGTCATCTGTGCGTTTTTGCCATTTGAACAGTTTTCCATTAGTGTCCGTTTTGCCTTTCAGGGTCACATATATGAACAAAATTGTAGCAAAAATTCACCACCTGCTGAAAGGATTCCACTCCAAATAAAAGTGAATCTAACACAGATGCATGTACACAACTAATTTTTTTTAACCACAGAAAAACTACCTTCACACTGAAGAGACAGGTGCTGTAAAACAAATTGTTCGTGCAAGGTTTCCACAAAAAAAGGGCAAAGCAAGGAGTTTAATCACAATGAATGTAGAGAGGCACTTTGGTGTCTGTAAAATTGAGATTTGCCTGTCTTTTCTTACCTTAAAATTTATAATTATTCACATCACTTCCCAATTAATTAATTTTTCACTAGAAATTTCTAAGTCAAGGCAAACATTTAAGACACTTCATGAATCTCACATTAAATTACATCCATGTGATCAAAAGACCATTAACATGTGTGTTACTGACCTGTCTCGGAACCTGAATCCACCACCTCTTCTCATCCCACTTCCTCCACCACTACCACCTCCTCCACCACCACCTCCACCACCTCCACTCCTTGATGTTGGACGGGCATGTTCCACTGTTATTCTTTCATAAAAAGAAAAACATGTACATATGTATTTCCCTAAAGAGGCTTTTATTCCCAATCTTTTAGCAAAACAGCAACATGT